TAGCTCAGATGGTTAAGCGTCTGCCTTCGGCTCAGGTCATGATCTCAGGGTCCTGGGATCGAGTCCCGCATCGGGTTCCCTGCTCAGTGCAGAGCCTGCTTCTCCCTCTCCCTCTGCCACTCCCTCTGCTTGTGCTCTTCTGTCTATCTCTCTGTCAAATAAATAAATAAAATCTTTAAAAAAAAAAAAACAAACCTTACTCCATTCAACTATTTTTTGTCATTGTCAAATTTGAGAGTTTAATCCTGCACATTGGACATTACAATTCTTGCTAATGAAGGTGATGTTCTTTCAGTTGCATTTCCCACCTTTTTGCTCACTGTCTCCTCCTGCATGTCAGCCCTCCTACCTGGTTCATTTTCTTTCTGCCTAAAACAGTTCCCTTAGAATTTTGTTCAGTGAGGGCCTTCACTTCTCTATCCTTCTCAAAAGATATTTCTGTTGGGTGAGCATCTCATCTCTGGGCTGCTGCTTTCTCTCAGAGCCTTGAAGGTGGTGCCCCTGTGGGTCCTGAGTTTCAGGCCATGGGACTGAGAAGTTGGCTCTCCATCATCATTATTGCTTTCCTTGCTGACTGTAGTTTTCAGCCCCGAATCAGCTGTTTTTTTATACACCTTGCTTGGGATGTGGTTGGCTTTCTGAGTCCTGGTGAGTTGGTGTTTCTCATCAGTTCTGGAAAGTTCTCCACCTTCATCCTCTTCAGTTTGCCTCTGCTCTCTCTCCATCCCTTAACCTCCCTTCTCTTCCCATGTTTGGGAAATTCACTGCACTCCATCTTCTAGCTCATCAGTTTTCTCTTTGGCTAGCTGAAATCCACTGTTAGCTGTGTCCAGTGTTCGAAATCTCCACCATTTGCTAATTTCTTAGTTCTATTTGGCTCTTCTACAAATGTCCTGCTCTTTGTTCACACTTCAGGATTAAACACACCAATTCTGGGTCTGATGATGCCAACACTGGAAGTCTCTGCTGCTTTTGTGTCCCTTGGCTCCCACCCATGAGGACAGGTTGTGAGTTTTGATGCCACTCATACACAGTTCCTGGGATGGGACTGGGGGAGTTCTTCAAGGCTAGGGTTGAAGGCTCATCCAGCAGACCTCCAGGGTCATCATCACCCTGGGCAGCTTTAAACCATTTCGTCTGCTGGAGGCCTCTGGCCACCCAAGTAACACTGGAGTTGTAGACTCAAGTAAGGTCACCATTCACCAGACTAGATTCTCCCCCCTCTTCCTCCCAACAGTCAGGCTAGAGATAATCAAGTTTCCTTTCCATTCCTGGGAAAATTTTATTTTGATTTTGACTTCACCCTTTGAGGTCTTAACAGAGCCACCATATTGAAGGCCCGTGAAAACAAGACCAAACCCGCCTTGTCTAACACAAAAGTGCTTCCTTCCTGGGGCTCCTGCCTAGGCTGACATTCTGGCCTCTGGTTGCTCCTTATCCTCTGGTTGCTCACGGACACGGTAATCAAGATTTAACTCATTTTTACCTAGTAATTTTCGCTCTTTTTCTTGGAGGATCAGTTTGAGAATCTAGTCTACTATCTGGTCAAAAGCAGAAGTTTATACCTTTTTTTTTTTTAAGATTTTATTTTTAATCTCCACACCCAACATGGGGCTCAAACTCACGACCCCGAGATCAAGAGCCGCACACTCTGACTGAGCCAGCCAGGCGCCCCTGTCACATTTCTTACAGCATGTGTTTGGGCCCCCTCCGTGAAGATTCTAGAACTCCAAGAGGAATGAGCATGTGAAAGCAGCTGGGAATTTATGAAGGGAAAAAATAAAATTAAGGAGAAAGAACCTGCTGAGCAGCTATTAAGACACACAGGACTACACCAAAAAATAGCCAGCAGAGGACCAGAAAAGCCGGTCATGGATTAGAGCAGATGCAGAAACAGACGCCAACACACGGGTCTTTATTCAGGGAGGGGGGAGCGTATCAAATCTGTACCCGGCCTGGGGAAAATCAGCTGGCCCTTTGGGCCGGGCCACCCCTCCATCTCTCTTCATCCCTAAATAAGGCCTAGATGGATAAAAATAAAAGTTAAAATTATAAGCAGAGAGAAAAAAAACCACTGGAGAATTTCTGTCAGCTGCGAGAAAGGCCTCTCAAAGCACAAAAGAAAAATGTTTAAAAACTGTGGTTTGAAAACCGTAAAAATAAAAATGTTTACAGAAAAAGGGATCATGAAACTGAGAGCTCCATCTGGTAAAAAAGCTTATCACAAAAAGCTTAATGGTTAAGATGGTAAATTTTGTTGTATGTTTTTTAGCACAGTTAAACAATTTTTAAAGTGTATTTTTTTTTAAAGATTTTATTTGTCAGAGAGAGAGAGAGCACACGTGCACTCGCACAAGCGGGGGGAGCTGCAGGCAGAGGGAGAGGCAGGGAGCCCGATGCAGGACTCGATCCCAGGACCCTGGGATCATGACCTGAGCCGAAGGTAGACGCCTAACCGACTGAGCCACCCAGGCGTCCCCTAAAAAGTGTACTTAAAAAGCAGAATTATGATGTATAAATGAGAAAAAGAAGCCCATGTAATAAAAACAGTCGAAGCAGCCCATTACAGATAAACACATTTTAGAAAACCTCCCTAGTAATAAAACTAATGAAATGAGAATGGGAGGCAGCACCTGTCACTGGACATTTGGCCAAAGTGAAACCTTGGGCCGTGTGGCCTCACTTGTACACAGTGACCCACCCTGAGACCCGGGGCTGAGAAGCCCACCCTTACCTGGCAACAGGAAAAAGCGGGCAAGGGGCCACAGCCGGCATGCCCGGCAGCAGAAGTGGGGGGCCCGGCTGTCCCCACACCACACATCCTGCCCGGCGCGACACCAGCGCTCCCCTTCCCTGTGAGCGGTGGGAGGCGGGTGCAGCGACAACCAAGTGGGCGCAGGGTCACGGATCCAGGTGCCAGGTGCTGAGCAGCTCCCCCAGACTGCCGCTCCCCCGTTCCCAGGGCCGGTGTGTGCTGAGCTGGGCCCCGGCCTCACCCACAGCGCCCCGGTGGGTCCCATCCCTGTGGCTCCCAGGCGGGCTCTCCTGATGTCCGTCTGCACTTCCTGACGGCCTGGCCCCGTCAAGCCCCAACATCCCACATGAAGACAGCGGACACCAGTTCGGTGGCTCCCACAGGAAGCAGTCAGGTCCCCCACGCCAACCCTTTGTAGCCATCTCCCTGCCTGCTGCCGCCGACAGCTCTGGACTGAACTGTGTGCCTCCTGGGTGTTTTCTTTTTCTTCTTGTAATAGAAGTGCCTGGCTTAAGCTTTGATTGCCCAGGCATCCGCTTCAAAGATAGCTATCTGGAATAAACCTATTTGCCAGCCTCACCGCTTGATAAACAGCCAGCTCTCTGCCGCCTCCACCCCCTGCCCCCCAGGCTCCCTTGAGAGCTCGTGGTTGCTTTTGAGAACTGGCCTTTGGGGTCACTTGTTCTTTCCTTTCCGGTGCTTTAAATTCCCGCTCCTATGTTTTAGTTTTACCATAAGCAATGAGCCCTGGGAACCCCACGCCCCCATCCTGGACCCCAATAAAAGCAGAGGCCCAGCCAGGGAACCCCCCACCCCCTCGCTGTGCGGCCCGCCCTGGGGGTGCTGTGGGAGCTCCAGGTCTTGTCGGTAAGAAACTTTTCCTTTCTTCAGTTTCCTGATGGGTGTTGCTGAAGGGCGTGGAACCACAGGGGCCAGTCCAACCAGACGCTGGATACTGACAGGCTGAGCCCTAACCATACAGACCCCCCCGCCTCAATTCCTGTGTTTAAGCCCGACTCCCCATCGTGACGGTGTCGTGACAGTGTCTGTGGACGTGGGGGCTCCGGGAGATCAGCAGGTAGTGAAGGGGGCGGCTCGCAATGGGGTCAGTGCTCTCCTAAGAAGGGGGGGTCAGAGAAGGTGCCCCCACGCCCCTCCCGCTCCACGTGAGCACCCGGCCAGAAGGCAGCCATGTGCAAGCCAGGAAGCCTCCTCACCAGACCCCGGCCCTGCCGGCACCCTGACTTCCAGCCTCCAGATCTGCGAGAAACTCCGAGTCCTCGGTGGGAGGCCCTCAGCAGCCACACGCGGTGATTCGGGCCACCGCAGCCAGGGAAGGGAGCCGTGTGCTGACCAGTTCCTCTGGGGCCACCATCACAAAGTACCCCAAACAACAGTTCACTCTCACGCACTTCTGGAGGCTGAACTCTGAAATCAAGGTGCCAGCACGGTTGGTTCCTTCAGAAAGTTCTAGGGGAGGACCACTCTTCACCCCTCCCAGCTTCTGGAGGCTCCAGTGCTCCTCGGCTTGTGGCCCCATCGCCCCAATCTCTGCCTCCATCCCCACGTGGCCTTCCTTTCTCAATGTCTCCTTTTCTGTCTCTTATAAGGACACTTGTCATTGGGTTTAGGGCCCATCCAGATAATCCCAAGATCCGTCACTTAATTCCATCTCTCTACTCGGTGACATTCCCAGACATCGGGTGACAGGACAGACGTACGCTTTCGGGGTCGCCATCCACGCCAGTGCACGTGGCACGTTCTCTAATGTATGTCTAGGCATCTCCACACGTGCAGAGAGCAGGAAGGGGGTTCTTCAGGAATTAATGTTTTGTGACCATTGGGTTTCCGATTCTTTAAGACCTCTCTGTAGCATGGGACTCTCCTGCCAGGAGCATCGATCGTCTCTAGAAACGGAGAGGAACCTGTTTTCCAGCTTTGGAGCACAGGGCCTGGGGTTCAAATCTCACCTTGGTCACGGACCGGTGTGTGGTGGGGGTCCAGCGGCTGCCCAGGGGAACCAGCTTCCCCACAGGGAAAATCAGCCCCTCAAGGTCAGCAGCACCCACAGCTGCCGGTGGTCCCTACCAGAGGGGCACACCCTCCCCCGGGCCGGGGCGTTCCCATCCGCCACACGGAGGCCAGAGCACGCCTCCCCCCGAACTGGGGGCCGGCACAGTGATAACAACAGCCCCGGACGTTGCCAAGTCTCCTGTCAGCAGAAGGAACGGAGGCCACAGCCGAGTGGGGTGCCTGGTTTATTTCTGGTGCAGGGGAGTCTCAGGCAGCGGCAGACTCCGGGCTTGGGGGGGGCGGGGGCGGGGGGCTGGCCCGGAGCTAGAACTCCACCTTGCAGGCGGGGAAGGCCTCGTCCTGCATGGACACGGTGCTGTTGCTGCCCAGCACGGTGATGCCCAGCGCCTGGTGCCGCGCGTGCGTCTCCTCGTACCACTCGTGCATCGCCACGGAATCGAAGGTGGGGATCAGGGTCACCTGCGGGTGGGACAGACGGCCTGACGGTGAGGGGGAGGGGGCCCCCTCTGCCCTCCCGGCCCCGCCCCCGACTCCACTCCCGGCATCTCAGGCCCTTCTCCTGAGCACGTCTGCTCGGCTTCCCTTCTCTCCCGCCTAGACGTCTGTGGCTGGGGGCCAGCTCATCCCCGAAGCCCCTTCTCTTCCCCACAGCACCCAGGGGAAGGGAGCCTCTCACAGCACAGGAGAGCAGGCCTCCCTCCGGCTCCTCCCCTGCACACGCCAGGCTTGCTCTCCCGCCAGCCGGCCCACACGTGGCACGGGTGGCCAGGGACCTGGAATCTGCTGCTTCTACCCAAACTTGCCTCACGCTCCAAGGCTCTGCTTCCAGGCCTCCTCTGGGGACAACCCCAGCCCACAGGCTCAATTCTCCCCTTTGTCAGCTGCACTGACAGCTCGCCTCTTCCTCCTGGCCCGTCACACGAGTCCTGCCCAGCACCCGCACCCGGGCTGCTGCAGATAGACGAAGTGGACACAACAGGAACAGAGTCCTGAGAGCTGCTGGGACCTCTGCGCCTGCCTTTGTTTCCATGGCCCTGGGGACCCAGCTTAGCCTCTCTGAGCCCCACTGCCTCTGTGGGTGGGTGAGGGTCGCACATAAGACGACGTTCAACAGGAAGGTATTAGGAAGTGTGGGCCCCACCTTGTGCCACGACTGCCTGAGGCCCTGGGGTGGTCACGCACCTGGAGGTCACGGTCCCACTGCTGCTTGCCAGCCAGCAGTGCATCCAGGACGGCCCGCATGCCCTCCTCCTTGCGCTGGTCCTGGCCACTGATGACATAGCAGAGCGCACGCACCCGCCGGAAGAACTCCTCGTCCACCAGCCGGGCGCTGCTCCCGCTGGGCAGGTAGGCCAGGTCGAGGTAGACAGGGGAGCCAGGAGGGGCTGCTGAGCCCCCCGGTCGGCTGCCAGCTGACCCTGTGGGCAAGAAGGACAGCGTCAGTCCTGAGCTCCTGGGACCAGGAAGGGGCCGAGACCCAGGGCCCGGGAAGGGGTTCCCAGCTCTGACTACACCCCTCCAAGTGGTTCCCTCCTCAGGAGAAGGCCTCATCTCACTATCTTATAGTTGACAAGCTCTCCCTGGTGTGGGCAGTTATTCAGTGAACGCTACAGATACCCCGGTCATATCTTCAGTGGCCTGGACCCTCCCTGGCTAGTCCCTGGACACAGACATACCCAGGGCCAGAGGTAAGGAAGGTAGGAAGGGGCAATCAGGGAGGGCTTCATGGAAGAGGAGGTTTTTAGAGCTTCGGCTCCCAAAGCAACCGGTACCTAGAACAATCTGCTGCTTTTGCAGCACCCACCTGTTCAACTACTCATGGGGCATTTACCGAGCCCTCCTGGGCATTAGGCACTGGGGACACAGCAGTAAGCGAGAGAGACAAAAATCCCTGCTGCCAAGGGCAATGGGGAGACAGAGTGGGTGTGGTAGGGACAGAACTGCAAGAGGGAGACCCAGGATGTGGCACAGCTCTCAGAGCCTCATGCATGGCTTTGAATCCAGAGCCTATGCAAAGGGGATGAGGTCACCAGTCCCAGGTGTGTCTCATAATCAACTGATTGAAGACCTACCTGGATCTCAGGTCCAGGAAACCCGGCCAGATGCTTGGCATCTTATGATCATAAACATTGCCCAGCTCAGGGTGTGGGTCCAGAGGGCTGCCGGGGCATTTGCAGAATGAATGAATCCCCCAGCTTTGGGCAAGTGGCATCTTTTTTTTTTTTAAAGATTTTATTTATTTGACAAAGAGAGATAGAGAGAGCAGGAACACAAGCAGGGGGAGTGGGAGAGGGAGAAGCAGGCCCCCCGCCGAGCAGGGAGCCCGACATGGGACTCGATCCCGGGACCCCGGGATCATGACCTGAGCCAAAGGCAGACGCCTAACGACTGAGCCACCCAGGCGCCCGGCAAGTGGCATCCTTCACTCATGGCTGGGAACAGCACTGGTGAGGATCTTAAGACTCAGGAAGAGAAAGCCACCGCGGCTATGGAAGGCGCAAGGGAGACAGGAGCCGCAGAGGCAGAACAGTGAAGGGAAGATGAGGGGGGCGTGGGCAGAAGCCGCAGGGCAGGAGGACAGGGGTAGAGCAGGGGCCGGCAGCCCGGTCTGCTTTTGTAAATGCAGTTTTGCCAGAATGCCCATTTGGTTACGTGCTAAGCTGCTGTTCTGCCACAGTGCAGAGTTGAGTCCTTGGGACAGAGGCCATCTGGCCTGCAAAGCTGAAAACGTTTATCTTCTGGCTCTTCTGAGGCACAGTTTGCTGACACGAGCACAGAGGGTCAGTCTGTCTGAGGCAGTAGGAGAAGGAGACCCCAAGTGGCCAAATGCCCTGGCAGAAAGGGCCTCGGATGACTCCCAGCCTCCGGGGGCCAGCCCCACCCCAAGGCCTGGGTAGCACCTGCCAAAGCTCACAGGGGCCCATCAGGTGCCTCCCTTGGAATGTGCCCGAAAAGGATAAGAAGTGGCAGCTCAGGTGGGCACTGAGGCTAGGAACCAACAACAGGCCATGGGCGAGAGAAGCCAGAGCCACGGTCAGGGCCACCCAGGCACCTAGAACAGGTGAGCAAGCACTCAGGGAACGAGCTCAAGTTCTGATCACTGCTAAGCATCATCGATGCTCTCCCACCAGCCCCCTGGTATTTCTAGGCCTGCACTGCCCTCCACGGTGTCACCAACCACTGCAACATGGCAGGTATGAGCTGAGACGAGCAGGGGTTGCAAAACACAGGCGAGGCATCCAGGACTCTTTTTTTTTTTTTTTTTAAGATTTTATTTTTAATCTCCACACCCAACATGGGGCTCAAACTCACGACCCCGAGATCAAGAGCCGCACACTCTGACTGAGCCAGCCAGGCGCCCCTGTCACATTTCTTACAGCATGTGTTTGGGCCCCCTCCGTGAAGATTCTAGAACTCCAAGAGGAATGAGCATGTGAAAGCAGCTGGGAATTTATGAAGGGAAAAAATAAAATTAAGGAGAAAGAACCTGCTGAGCAGCTATTAAGACACACAGGACTACACCAAAAAATAGCCAGCAGAGGACCAGAAAAGCCGGTCATGGATTAGAGCAGATGCAGAAACAGACGCCAACACACGGGTCTTTATTCAGGGAGGGGGGAGCGTATCAAATCTGTACCCGGCCTGGGGAAAATCAGCTGGCCCTTTGGGCCGGGCCACCCCTCCATCTCTCTTCATCCCTAAATAAGGCCTAGATGGATAAAAATAAAAGTTAAAATTATAAGCAGAGAGAAAAAAAACCACTGGAGAATTTCTGTCAGCTGCGAGAAAGGCCTCTCAAAGCACAAAAGAAAAATGTTTAAAAACTGTGGTTTGAAAACCGTAAAAATAAAAATGTTTACAGAAAAAGGGATCATGAAACTGAGAGCTCCATCTGGTAAAAAAGCTTATCACAAAAAGCTTAATGGTTAAGATGGTAAATTTTGTTGTATGTTTTTTAGCACAGTTAAACAATTTTTAAAGTGTATTTTTTTTTAAAGATTTTATTTGTCAGAGAGAGAG